TTGTTAATGAAAAGTTGCTGAAATGGTTTAAATAAACCTGCAGTCTGCTCTGGCCATTGTGGCTCAGTGGTAGAGCGTCAGCCCATGCACCCACAGTGTAGGGTTCAATTCCAGTCAAGAGCATGTGTCTGGGTTGTGGGTTCGATCTCAGGGCATGTGTTGGAGACAAACAATCAATGTGTGTCTCTCACATCGGTATTTATCTTTCTCTCTTTCCCTCCCTCCCTTCCAGTTTCTCTAAAAATAAATGGGAAAAATATCCCCTGGCGAGGGTTAACAACAACAAATTAAGTAAAACTGCAGTCAAGCCATAATTGTTTGGCCCAATTTGTCTAAAAAATATTAAGGTTATAAGCCCTAATACATTTTATATAAAATGTTTACTGATACTAACATACAAGAAAAAAACAGTTTAATATATATAATGTTTACGTATCTATTTCCCTTTTTGTTTGAAGTTAAAGCTGACAATGGAATTCATGATTCTCTTGGGATGCTAATTTCTTTTTTTAAAATATATTTTAGTGATTTTTTTACAGAGAGAAAGGGAGGAGAATAGAGAGTTAGAAACATGGATGAGAAACATCAATCAGCTGCCTCCTGCACACCCCCTGCTAGGGATATGCCTACAACCAAGGTATGGAACCTGCGACCCTTCAGTCGGCAGGCCAACATTTTATCCACTGAGCCAAACCGTTAGTGCTTGGGGTGCTCATTTCTAGGCGGCAACTGTTTCTATGATGTGGGGTGCCTGTGCCAAATCATTGCACATTTACAGCCCTGCTGATGGGGTTTCCCCCTAGAGAGGTCATAGTCCACTGGAGCTTTGCTGCAGACACCAGCATAGGCAGGTAAATGTTTTTATAATTGCCACTAGGAGTAAGAGAGGGCCCAGGGGTTCTTTCTCTGCCCAGGAGAGCTCCTCCCTTGTTACAATTTAATTTGTTGTGTGCCTGTGGACCAGATGGGTGGAATTAACCCTGCTAAGGTGTGGTGGTTAGATTGTTTTAAAATGTCTGGAGACTCCAAGGAAATGTGAGAGGTCGCATTTCTTTTTCAAAGGACCGTCCTTTTGTGGTTCAAATGTGGGCTTTTGAAACTGAAAACTATAACACCTGTCGCTATAGGGTGTGGGGGAGTCTGTTTTCCTTTTCCTCCTATTGGGGTGTTACATGAATTTCTTGACTTAATTAATGTTGGTGTTTCGGTAAACATGGCTCTAAGGTAGCAAGATTAGGGGACTAGGAGCTACTTAGTCATTGAGGGGAAGTCCTTGCTTTCTACATATTGTGTACCCTGAAGAACTGGCCTGGCTAATCTTCCTGCTACAGTCCATCGGAGCATTCATATGGCCTGCCTGAGTGTTGTAGAAGTAAGCTGTGGGAAAAAACCTCAGGAGGCGGCTTACGTGGGGCGAGGGCAAAAAAATATAAACCGAATACATATAAGCTGCGTGTGGTGTTCCCTGAAGAAGTTAGCCCCAGTGCAGTTTCTTTTTCATTGTAGGTACTGAATTATCTTGAAACTGAATGTGCCCCAGTGGTAAAAGGAAGTTAAAAAGATAAGCCCCCTCATTCTCCCAGGGGAAAGAAAAAAAACAAAAACATATCTACATTTGGAACACAATGTCTTGCTCTTTTTTTGCTTCGCTTTCAGAAAAGTCTAATGAGGTTGGAGCCAGTCAAGAAAAATAGCTGAAATAATCAAAATTAGGGCTTCTATGTTCCTTCTATCAGGACCTACTTAAATGGCAAAGACTGCAGCCTAAACAGTAGGATTATGTTATGAGTGAATTTGTCCCCCTAAAATTTATATATTGAAGTCCTCACCCTCAGTAGCTCAGAATGTGGCTACCTTTGGAAATAGGGCCTTGACAAAGGCACTCAACTAAGTGCTATGGGGCCATTAGAGTGGGTCCTTGTCCAATGTGACTGGCGTTCTTATAAAGAGAGATTAGAACAGAGAGAGAGAGAGAGAGAGAGAGAGAGAGAGAGAGAGAGAGAGAGAGAGAGAGAGAGAGAGACGGACACCGGGCACATGCACACACAGAGATGGAGAAGATGATCACCGACAAGCCAATGAGAGAGGTCTCAGGAGAAATCACCCTGCCAATACCTTGATCTCAGACTTCTAGCCTTCAGAACTGTGAGAAAACAAATTCCTGTTGTTTAAGTCACTCAGCCCATGCTATTTTGTGATGGTAGCCCTAGAAAGCTAAGATATGGACAGCTGAGAACAGATAGGGACAAATGGTAAAGAATTATGAAGGGTCTAGAAAAGGATGTGATTATCTCAAGATACCCTCAGGTCAAGGTTTCTTAAAGTAGCGTCTGTATACTGCCTATATCAAAAACACCTATGATGCTTTTTTAAAAAGCAGGTCCCCAGGCCCCTCTGGACCTTGAGTTTTAAAATGAAGCCCTGTCTTTTCCATAAGACACCCCAAGTGATTTTTTCCCCGCCACACTAAAGTGTGTGTGAGACCCACTGTGCAAGGTCCTGCCCAACCTCTGGCTCTTTCCTGGGCTTACCTGGCTGGCACTAATTCCATCTCAGCAAGTGCTGGTGTGCCTGGCCCTCTGGCAGACGCTCTGTGGTCCAGGAACCAGGTATACATTCCATTGCAGATTATATCTCTGCAGGTGTCAGCCAGTGTTTATCAGCATGTGGAGAATGCTGGATAGGATGGACCAAATGGAATCTTTGGGGGAGTTTACTCTTGGTTCTTAGAAAAAATATGTGCCTCACCTATCTTTTTAAATAATAATCTATAGTATATATAATATTCCTATCATAAACTTTATTTAAAAGATGATATTACCTCGGCACCTAAATTCTCAGAGAGAATACAGGCAATAGAAACAGCATATCTAACGTTTGCTGTCCATCAGAAAAACTTACATGGAAATTTCTCTGACAGGGCCTGGTGATTTTTTAAGCCCTGTATAGTAGATATAATATTAGGGAAATAGAGCAATAACATATACAAATAAATAATAATAAATGGAAAGGCATCTAGTAAATTACTTCAGCCAGGCTCTGTGCTTTCATGTATTTCTTCATTTCCAAAGGGAATGGAAATGGAAAGTGGTTTTTTTCAGATAGCATAAGGTGAATTTTCTTTCCCTCACCAAAGAGAACTGAAGCTACAGAAAGAGAGAAATAGTTGAGAACCCAAAGCAAACACAGTGACAAACGTTTTCAAAGTAGGCAGGATGGGTGACATTTTGATTTAAATATGACAGTTCCCTAGGAAATTGTAAAACCTGCCCCCTTCCTCCTTTACAAATGTGGCTGCAGGCCCTAATTGGCTTGGCTCAGTGGATAGAGCGTCAGCCTGCAGACTGAAAAGTCCCAGGTTCCATTCCGGTCAAGGGCATGTACCTAGGTTGTGGGCACATCCCCAGCAGGGGGTGTGCAGGAGGCAGCTGGTTGATATTTCTCTCTCATTGATGTTTCCAACTCTCTTTCCCTTTCCCTTCCTCTCTGTGATCAATAAAACATATTTTAAAAAAAACACAAATGTGACTACAGGCTGCAACAAACTATTATACGTTTATTTACTTATTTAAAAATATTTTTTATTGATTTCAGAGAGGAAGAGAGGGGGAGAGATAAACATCAATGATAAGAATCATTGAGGGCAGCCTCTCCCACGCCCCCTATTGGGAGACTAGCCCCCAACTTGAGCAGGTGCCCTGAGGGGAAATGGAACCACGACTTCCTGGTTCATAGGTCAACGCTCCGCCACTGAGACACGCTGGTCAGGGCCACACGTTTATTTTTTGTTTATTTTTTAACTGAAAGATAGACCATGGGTGAATGTCCTGGCGGGCAGGCCTTCGGACTAGTTCTCTGAGTCCCTTCGGGCGGCCCAGCTTGGACCCAGAAGGCGGCGGGGGCCACCTGTCCAGGGGGTACCTGTGGCCCAGCATGTTGATGGCTTAAGGGCAGGCGCTGCCTGAGGGCTGCCCCCTCCCCGCCTAACGGCATGTTCGCATGTTCGTGGCTCTGTGGAGCCTCCTCATTCCCATGAATTCCTTTTTTTCTGGGCGGGGATGGGAGGATGAATGGCGAATGGCAGTTGTGTTTTCGGGGTGCTTTCCAGAAACAAAGATTCTGGCACTGGGAATACATTGATTTTAAAACTCTAGACCTCCTGGAGAGGATCAGCAGAAAAGCCCTGAGAGCCGTTGGGTTTCCCTTAGGCCCGAGGAGAGAGAGAAGGGGGAGGGGGGGAGCGCGTCCCCTCCCCAAGGAAACAGACAGCCTCCCTCCCCCGGGCTGGGCCGTGGCCGCGGGGCGAGGAGCCCTAACAATGGGCGGCGGCGGCGGGCCGGGCTGAGCGGGGCTCCTTCCTTCTCCTCCGTCCCGGCCTCGGCCTGAGGCCAGGCAGCCCCGCGGGCCTTGACCCTGGGGCCGGCGGGCTCTGGGGGCAGCGGCGGCGCCTTCATTAGAGGGCGCTCTGGGGGCGGCGGAGGCGGAGGCGGAGGCGCCGCAGTCCGGCTCCCGCCGCTTCCTCCCGCCTCCCTCCCTCCCTCCCTCCCCGCCAGCCGGCGAGCGCGATCGGGCCGCGGGGACCGAGGCTCCGCGCCGCCGCCGCCGCCGCCTCCTTCCGCCGGCCGCGCCGCCGGCCATGCATTCTTCCGGCTCCCGCGGCGCCCGCAGCCCGCGTGGGGGCTCGGCCGGCCCGAGGTAACCGGGCTCGGCGGGGGCAGGCCCGGGGCTGCGGCGGCGGCGCCGGGCCCGGGGAGGGCGGAGAGAGGGGTGTCGTGCGGCGGGGAGGCGGCGGCGGCGGCGGCGGCACGAGGGACTCAGGGCGCGGTAGGCCCCGAGGAGGAGGCGGGAGCGCGGGGCGTCCGCCCGCCCGCCTCCCGGGACCCGCCCCGGTGACAGGTCCGGCCTCTGAGTCCCCGCCGTGTCCCTCTGTCCGCAGGCAGCCGCCAGGGCAGTAGGGCGCCCGCTCGCGCCGCGCCGGGGCCGCCGCCGCCGCCGTGTCCATGACCGCGACCCCTCGTCCGGGGACACACGCCGCCGCCGCCAACGCCGGTGCCCGGCCCCGCGCGCCCCCGCGCCCGCCGGCCGCGCCCGCCGAGGTGAGCCGGCCGCCCCGACCCCGTCCCCGTCCCCGTCCGCGGAAACCGCTGCGGCTCCACCCGCCCCAGCTCCCGCTTCCCCTCACATCCTCCCCGGCTCCCGGCCCGCTCCGCTCGGCGGCGGCTTCATCCCCTTCATCCCTGTCCCCTCGCCTTAGCCTCCTCCTGGCTGTGGCTCCCCATTCCCCTCCTCCTCCCCCCGTCCTTCCTCCTTTCCGCTTTATGAGTAACCCCCCTTTCTTCCTCTCACCTTTCTGCCCTTTTCTAGGTAATCCCCTTCTCCTCCTTTCTTAACCAGGAAAACAAAAGCCCCCTTTGCGCCAAGGAGCATTTTTTTTTTTTTTTTTTAAAGCGGAACTGGTGTTGCTAACGCGAGGGACCTTGGGCAGGACTGAATCTGTGCATGAATGGGACTGGAGAGGAGGGGGTACCAGGTTCCCGGGATCTGGGAGATCTGATTGAGGGGGTGTCAGCCTTCTGGCCCCTCGTGTCCTCAGTTTTGGAGACACCCAGGGGTGTCTGAGACCAGTGAGGCTGTTCCGCGGCATTCCCCTTCGCTCAGTGTATTGTGACATACCCTGCGCCTCCGTGCACAGCTTCCTTGACCTTGTGCGGCTCCTCCTCCCTCTCTCTCCCTCTCTCTCTCTGTCCCCCCTCTGGAATTTCCCGGAGAGATCACCGGAGGTAACTTAGATCCCTGCTTTTCTTTTTTTGTTATTTTTGTGCCGGAGACGATTTCTTATGTTGGTGGGACTTAGGTAGATGTGTTTGAACCCATGTGCCTTTTTTTTTTTTAATGCATTTTTTTCCCCCCCTTTCACCCCAGAAAGACAGGACGGACTCCCATGTGAGAATGGCTGTGACTTTGGAACAAGCCCCGTGGCTGGGCTGGATCCTGGTGAAAGCCCTGATGAGGTTTGCCTTCATGGTTGCTAACAACCTGGTTGCAATTTCATCCTACGTCTTCTATGTGATCGTGCTCCAGCCCCTCCGCGTGCTGGACAGGAAGAGCTTCTGGTACATCGAAGGGATCATGTACAAATGGCTCCTGGGCATGGTGGCTTCCTGGGGATGGTATGCCGGGTATACAGGTAAGCGTGAGAACGTATGTCATGTTCTTGCTTCGTTCAGGGGCCATGATTAAATATATATATTTTATACTTTGGGTGGATGAGGTTTTTATATGCTTTGACTATTGAAAAATAAGTAGAAAACACAATCATGAGGGGGTTTTTTTCTCTTTAGAATCCCAATTAATAAGGATGTTTTCAGAAGTATAATCATAACTATAGGTTGATGAATTCCTTCAATGACATGTTATTTATGGGATTGACATTTAGTAAAACCGGTCTGCGAAAGCTCTCTCAGAGAAATAGGAGTGGGTTAATAGAGCATTGGAAGGCTTCTCATATGAAGAGGGAAGATATTTAGCTCATTAACAGTGGGCATTTAGGAAAAGGACTGAGCTATATTTGCATGAAGATAGTTTAATGTTTTTTTTTTTCATTTAATGTAATATTGTACTGTTCATATTTTAAGCCAAACAGAAAAATGACTCGTTTCTGTTACGTATGTTTCTTATGCTTCCTAGAATCTCTGATTTAGCTCATGCATCTGTATTAGAATATTAAATGTAAAGGTTAAGGTTAACTTATGTTAAGCTCATTTATCTTCTGAATAAAAAAAAATAAGCACATTTTCATTTCTGCCTTTAGATTTTGGAAAGCAGGGCCAGTGCTGTTCTGAAGTGGACTTTTCGAGAACTAGATGGGAAGTAGGCTTGGTTTTCTGTTTCGAGGCCTTTCTTATGTGCTTTGAGAACTTGTGCCTCACTGATGAAAATTCTGGATTGTATAGTATGTTGATGGCACTTTCTTCCCCCTCATGATGACAAAAAGCATTGAGGTTTCTTAGCACTTGTCTCAGACTATTGAGGCTTTTAGATTTTTGTAACTGATGGGCTCCTGTAGATGGTGTGGGTCAGTGGGATCTGGAAGAATCTTAGAAGAGTGAGGAAGGTGCTCTCAGGCTCCAACAGCACAGCTGTTCCCCATTTTAAATGCTCTGTCTCCTTCTTTCCTGCCCAGGCTGCACCTGCAGATTTTGTCTTAGACACGTGAGAAAAGGACTGAGCACCCAGCTTTTATGGAGTCTGGCAGACCCCTGCTAGGTCAGAGTGCTCTCAGTTGCCCCAGATGAGGCCTTTTCTCATCCTGGCAATGCCATTTATGGTCCTGGAATTCCACCCCAAAGCCCCTGGGTATTTATTGCATACATTGCTTCCTTGTCATGTGTTCTGTTGAGATCCTAATGCTTTTTGGATGTAGCAGGTAAGCTTTTATAGGACCTCGTGGTAGCAGTAGGGGCGATAGACAAAAAATGAAGTTCTCATCTGTAGTGCTGAATATTTACCTGAGCCGCTCTGCTGTTCTAGAATGGCTTTGCTGTATAGAGTTTGTGCTTCCCCGGATATCCTATGTGCCACTAGTGGCTTTGTTCTTTGTATGATATACTTAAGTTGCTTTTTTAAAATGAATCCATCGTGTTTTTAGATGTAAATTCTAGACGTTCATTCTACTTAAACACGATGAAATTATTGAAATGCTTGTGCTTGTATGTGCGGTGTATTTGTGTATAAGTGTTAGCATGATGAGAAACTGAAAAAGAAAAAAATTGTCATTGACCTTGAGATTATAAGGAGTGCAGTTGTAATGCTGCTCAAAGTTTGAGTCAGTTATCCCGTGGCCACAGCTGGGCTGCAGTGTATTTTTAAGCATATTTGCTTGGGGTGTCTCTTCCTTGCTGTCTATGGAACTGCAGTTTTTTTGGCCACCTGATTGGTCTTGACATGATCTGCATATTTTAGTCTCTCTGAAGCATTTGCTCTCTTCAGGCTACTGCAATTTGACCATTTGGTCATTTTGTCTCATATAAGAGTAGAATATTTTAGTGTGCTTATTATAAATGGTTTTTCTATAGGTAGAATACTTTTAGAGGGTCTGGCCGTGGTTTGATCATAACAGAGCACAGTTCAGAGGTCAAACAAAAGTAGGAATGACATTCGTTGAAAGCTGCAACTGGGGCTAAAGCACACACAAGCAGGGATTGATGGGCAGATGTACCCATAAAAGCAACTAGGACAGCAATTTTCAACCTTTGTCATCTCATGGCATACATAAACTAATTACTAAAATTCTGCAGCACACCAAAAAATGTTTTTGTGTTTTTTTTTTTTGCCAATCTGATAAAAAAAAAAAGATATAATTTTTACTTATTCACATTGGACAGCTATTGTTGTCATTTCTTAAATTTGACAATATAAGGGAAAAGAAGTCATTGCCCCTAACTAAATAGTCAGCTATTGCATGTTGTAAAAATTCTTGTGGCACACCAGTGTGCCTGCCCTTGCTTGCACACTGGTTGAAAATCACTAGTCTAGGAGGTCATAATAACCTTTGTATGAGTTTATGTTTCATTTCTTCCTTTTGTATCAAGAGGACTGACTTAAGTTTTGTTTCCCCCACCTTTCTGAAATTCTGCTGAAATTTCACAGATGGAAAATTGAACCCTGTTAAAGGAATTCTCCTCAGCAGATCTTGTCTGTTCACGTTGTAGAATAAAAATTGCCAAACTTTGTCGAAAAACCACTTCCGAGGAAACCTTAAATATGAATTAATTAAATATTAATTAGGAAACTGAAAAGTGAATATTGGTTTAGAGTATCATTTTTTTTTTTTTCAAAATGTGGCATTCTGTCTAAGACAAGTCGATTACACAGCTTATGTTGCTTGTCAATCCTACACTGCCCTATATGGTAGCTTCTAGTCTCTGGCTATCTAAATGCAATTAATTAAAATGAAATAAAGTTTAAAATTAAGTTTCTCAGTCACACCAACCACATTTCAAGTGCTGCATACTAGGTGTCTAATGGCTGTTGTATCGGACAGTGCAGGTGTATAACGTTTGCATCATCACAGAAAGCTTTGTTGGACAGAGCAAATGAATAGTCAGCATGGTTTTCTCCTTTTTCTTAGGAAAAAGGCATTTTATTTTTATAAAGAATACTTTTCTAGACATAGTTCTCAATAGATTTCTTTTAGGAAAGGCCCGAAAACTTATTCAAGTTTTATACAATTATCTTTTAATTTGAGGCAACTGTCACTAAACTGTGGCCTTTAAACTCAGACAGGCTTCTTGGCTGGGAAATGAAGTTGAAGGAACATTTTTGTATCTCATTTGAGTTCTCAGAGCTGAAGAAGACAAAGAAGACAGAAAGGGGTTTTCTGGCCTTTCTGCTGGTTTCTGACCTGTTAGGGGAACACAGTTTTATTTATTTATTTATTTACATTTTTTTTTATTTTATGTTTTTATTACATTTTTAGAGAGAGAAGGGGAGAGAGAGAGAAACACCAGGGATCGGCCATCCCCATCAGGGATGTAGCCTGCAACCCAGGCATGTGCCCCTACCAACTGGGTATCACTAACCACCTGTGCTTCCAGGCTAGGACATGAGGGGAACACTGTTCTTAAAAGATCTCTGAAGACACTGGGGTTTGTTTTGCTCATAAGCTAAGTCACTACTTAGCTTGAGACTAAGTATTGACGCTAGTTGGTACTGCCTTTCCTTTAATGAGAAGGGCTGTAGAAATACCTCACGTTGAGGAAAACACGGATACTGTTTTTGCTCTAAGTTCAAGGGCACACCAAAAGAGGTCCTAGCTTAATGAATGATCCACTTCTTCCTGCTTTATTCAGATCTGCCGCAAATCAGTACACGTCTCTCCCATCAACTTGAGTGAACATTGGCAAATTTCAGAGAGAATTTCTAAAAACAAAATGTGTTCATTTAAAACAGCTTATTTTGATTCTCATTCACGTATTTTAATAAATTCATTGTTCCCCATCCAAACACATTTAATTAAAGTCTCTTACACAGAATTGTTTAAAAAATATTCATTGTAACTGGACACACCAGAATTTCTACATGGGATGAGTCTTTTGGGCCATAGTCTAGCTTAGTGGTCATTAGTCAACAGAGCGGTAAACCAAGACTCGTGAGCCACATGTGGCTCAAGAGCCGCAGTTTGCCGACCACTGGTCTAGCTGAAAGGGAGCTGGGGTTGCCAGGGCACTCGCCACCAAACTATTTTTGCTTAGCAAATGCTGTTTCTCTTAGAGTGGGTATTTACTTGGATGGTTTAGGGAAAGCTGATGGAGATTAGGTTTAGCTTCCTCCTACTCCCCAAGTGACAGCTGTCATGGCTCTATGTTAGTCTATGTGGGTTGATTATTTGATAGTGTTTTTTACTGGGATACAAATCCACCCTGTGAGGAAAAAAAAAATGTTTGGAATTATATCTGACCTTGAAATTCTAGAGAAATGTAAAAAATGTATCTTCTAGAGCAGTATTTTTCCACTTCGACTGAGTCATAAACCAATTTAGTGTGTCAAGATGAACAAACATTTTTAAAAAGTAAAATTCAATAGAGTTAAGCAGAAAAGATCAGAAATGTGTGTATCTGTACCAGGTAGAGCTGCTGAATGTATTGTTTTGCTGTGAGCCCTGTCAGCATTTGAAAGGCATTGTTCAAGGGGAAGGAACACTGCAATTTTCAACTCTGGGAGTCAGATTCTTGATCTGGCTTTGACTCCCTGGTGGGGGTGACAGCCTTACCTGCTCTGTGCACACCGGAGACATGGATTCTTTATAACCCCGGAGCCCCGTTTGGTGCCTGATGCTCACGGAGTGCTCCATAGTGCCTACATATCTGTTGAACATCCCTTCTTTCTTTCTTGGCCCCAGCCGAGGTGCTCTAGCTGCTTACCTTCCTGAAAGGTCTAATATCCAGGTATTGCAATCCCAAAATATAAATAAACTGGATCATGTTTTTCACACACATACATATAAATACATATCCTATAATAACACTTTTGCTAACTTAACACACCTTTATTGAGCTTCTCTTATGTCTGGGCTTCTGGAAGAAGTTAAAAACATGTTGCTTCAATGGAAGCATTTTTAGTGTGATAAAAATCCTACTTAAGTCTCTGCTCTTACAGAGAACAGCGGTCCAACTGGAATTTTAATTT